CAGGCTCCTGAGTCCTTTGCAACATGTCCCCTTTATTCTTTGACCACTTCCTTGCTTTGGGGCACAGAAATGTTCCAAGTTCACTTTGTACTTTTCATGCCCTGGACCTGGAATCAGACACTTTTGCAAGGAGACCCAGATTCTTTTAGTGGAGAATGATATTTTGAAGCCCAGATCTAGGTCCTAGGTGTACTCATTGCTACTGACGTGTTCTTTGAAACCTTTCAAGCATTCCTAATGAGAGCTATTTTAGCTGACAGATGATTTAGGAACATCTATGAGTTAATCACCCAACAGTCTCACAACCACAATCTCTACCTATATATTACAATAACTAGGTCTCCTTCACCCCAACTTGTCCAGTTGGTATACTCCAGGGTTGTTTTCAATCATTAGGGCTTCCTAAGGATCACTTTCTCCGGGGCTGTGTTATTTATCTCCATCCAAAAGGCAAGATAGGTAGGAGAGCAATCCCATCTCCTACCTACCTCTCCTATTTTGCAAAATTAGAAGATACAGGTCCCTTTCTGCCTTGAAAATGTTCTCAATCCTTCCTCCTCTTTCTCATCGCTTTTTTCACACAAATTTCTCTCACCTACACTTTATCCTGGTATTTCTTAGAAGTGACTCTGCACAGAGCTTGCTTCTCAGGGTCTCTTTATAGACTCTGGAATTTGTGGCTGGAGAGAAAAAGGAAGTAGTATAGATACCACCTTTCTCCTTTCTCTGCTTCTCTGCCCCCAAACCTCATCAAACATATCCCAGGGAACTTAGAAAACAGAGAGAAATCCATCAGCCCCTGAAGATTGTGAGGTTTAAACCTTGAGACCAGTAGAATCTCCTATAAGACAACAAGTAATAGTCAAAGAAAACAAGGTAAAGTCGATCATATAAAATGAAGCAAAATAGAATTTGTTAAGACCACTTAAAATGCATTAGACTAAAAAGGAACATAAGGGGGCTCCCACACAGAGAATATTTAGGTTTAGGGTTGCATGATGTGCAGAGATCACATCAAGGAGTTCAATTTTCCATCCACAGTTCAGAGGTCAGGCTTTAGACTTTCATGGCGGAAGTCTTCAGGGAATCACTTTGAAGACAGAGAAGTAGGAACTATAGTGAAAGGATTTTTATGTAACCATGATGTATCCCACACACCTGGAAGTAGAAAAAGCAAGGAAAAATTACAATAAGTAGTATATGGAGAGTTAACTTGGGTACTATTGAATATCTCATTAGTAAAACACTTCTATGTGTATAGATAAATTTCCCAGTGTATATACACACTTATTTATTTTCTCCACTGAAAGGCATTTCACTATAGAGAGATAACAGAAAGAAATATATAGTTGGCTCTTGAACAACATAGAGGTTACAGTCACTGATCCCCTGTGCAGTCAAAAATGTGTATATAATTTTGACTCCCCCAAAACTTAACTGCTAATAGATTGCTATTGACTGGAAGGCTTACCGATAACATAAACAGTTGATTAGTACATTTTTTTTATGTTATATATATTACCTACTGTATTTTTACCATAAAGTAAGATAGGAAAAAAAATGTTATTAAGAAAATCACAAGGATGAGAAAATACATTTGCAGTACTGGATTGTATTTATCAATACTGTAAGTTTATGTCATCTGTTTACAAGATGAATTGCCTATCTGAAATGGTGGGCAACTGCATCTGACGTCCTCAATCTATGGTACTTATCAAGTAACTCAGCTTTTGCTTATAATGTCATAACTTTTCTCTGCTTCTTGGGAGTACTTCCAGCATCACTAGTCACACTTCATGTGGGTCCCATGATGTTATATTGTACTAAACATGATGAAAAATAAACAAGAAACTTGAGAGATAGCTTTTTACTGTGATACACAATTTACTGGAGAGACAAACTGCTTACAAAGAGATGATCAGCATGAGGTGGCATTTTAAGTGGATACTTGTAACACTTGAGCTCACCACAATAGCAACAAGAGGTGGCTATAAAATTATTACAGTAGTATAGTATGCACTATAGTTAATTTTATGAAGTTATGTTTTAATACTACACCTTTTTATTTGTTTACATTTCTCTCAACTACAAATGGTACCATATACAGTCTGTGTTTGTGTATGTATGTTTCGATAAATGTTAACTTTTTATAATAGATTTGTGTATATTTTGTGGTAGTAAGTGATAAAATAGACTACTATCTACAAATATTTTATGCATTTATGACATACTTTTTCTTGATTTTTTTCTATATTTTTATGCTTTGCAGTTTGTTTGTGTTTTCTTTTAAATGTCAAAATCTCCAAAAATTTTTTCAATGCATTTATGGAAAAAAATCCACTTATAAGTGGACCTGTAAGTTCAAACCTGTGTTGTTCAAGGGTCAACTATATATATTGCAATTTTAGGTTGAAAGATATATTTTATCATTTACATTTATTTTATTTTATCAAAAATATATTTTATTTTATCAAAGATATACCTTTTATTTTATCAAAGATGTATTTTATTTTATCATTTACTTATAAATGATAATATACATAATTTATATGCAATAACAAATTAAGAAATAAGCCTATATCCTTCAACAGATTTATAGTACTTATTGGTTGTCTAGACCTGAGTTCAACCCAGTCAATGTTCTGTGTGACTCACCTTCAGAAATCTGATATTCTATGGACTTGTTGCCCAGGCTGAAATCCCTGCCTTCTTGCCAAGATAGAAGAGAAGTGGGAAATAGAGCACATTTTCTCTTCTTTCCTGGAGCCGTAACTCTCCCTACACCATAGAGAGAAAATTTCATATCCTCTATTCAAAGATGAGAAAAATTCCAAAGTTACCCTTACACATTCAAAAATCAAGACCAGGAAAGCCAAGAGAACCCACAGACTCTTTGAAGGAAGCAGATTGCTCCTGCAGGGCCCCTGGAGACAGCCAAAAACCTGTGAATTCCCAATGTGTGAAAGGAGAATTGTCTGCCCCCAAACACACACTCTCACTGGGGAACCTGAAGTTCCAGATTGTGGGAGAAAGATTTGACCTTACCTGGAGCGGAGACAAATTTAGAGAGCTGAGTGAAATACAGGCGTAGAAGAAGCAGTGGGAAGACCCCTGTGGGTTCTCGGTCCCCAAGGAAGTCATTTCCGACTTTGTCTCACAGAGGTCCTTGGGGAGGGCTGCCAGAGGAACCAGAAAGAGACCACACGGAGAAGGAAACTTCCAGCAGAACTTTGTAACAATTTTGACTGAATGCAAAGTTTCCTGGACAGAAATCAGGGGAGGGGTGAATCAGGAGTGCAGTCACAGCACAGAAGCCATGGCAGGTGGAGAAAGGTGAAACTTAAAAGCCCTGCTTCCTTTCTTAGCTGGGAAGCTGGTAGCCTGGGGCAGTTTCCCAGACCTGCTCAGTCACTGCCTGGAAATAACTTGGTGCTGTTGAGGGAGCACAATAAAAGTGAAGCCAGCCTTTTGGGCTGAGTGATGCCTGTAACTGCCAGCTTTCACCCATTTCCCTGGTGGCCCACATGACACAGGAGAGGCAGCCATAATCCCCCTGGGAGCAGAATTCCACTGGCCTGAGAACCACACCCCCCTCCCCTGCAGCAGCTGCAGTATGACCCGCCCAAGAAGAGTCTGAAATTAGACATCTTTAACCCTGTCCCCACCTGATGGTCTTGCTCTACCTGCCCTGATAGCCCAAAAAAAGGATATAACCTCTTGGGAGCTCTAAGACCCCACCGACCGCCTGATGCTCCCTATACTACCTCAGCTGATGCCCTCTTGAAAGTGCCACCTCCCGACTGGAGGCCAACCAACACAAAACTAGTGCAATAAACAAAACTACAACTAAGGACCCTCACAGAATCTGTTTCACTCCTCTGCCCCCTCCACCAGAGCAGGTGCTGGTGTCTACAGCTGAGAGACTTAAAGATGGTTCACATCATAGGACTCTGTGTAGACAATCCCAGCCCAGAGCCTGGTAACTCTGCTGGGTGGCTAGATCCAGAAGAGAAATAACAATCATTCCAGTTTGGGTCTCAGGAAGCCACATCCCCAGGGAAAGGGGGAGAGCACTACATCAAAAGAGCACCCCATGGGACAGAAGAATCTGAACAGCATCCCTTGAGCCCCAAATATTTCCTCTGACATAGTCTACCCAAATAAGAAGGAATCAGAAAAACAATTCTGGTAATATGACAAAACACGGTTCTTTAACACCCCCAAAAGATCACACTAGTTCACCAGCAATAGATCCAAACCAAGATGAAATCCCTGAATTACCAGAAAAAGAATTCAGACAGTCAATTATTAAGCTAATCAAGAAGGAATCAGAGAAAGGTGGAGTCCAACTTAATGAAATCAAAAAAATGATAAAAGATATGAAGGGAAAAATCTTCAGTGTAATAGATAGCATGAATAAAAAGCAATCACAACATCTAGAAGTGAAAGACACATTTAGAGAAATGCAAAATGCACTTGAAAGTTTCAGCAATAAATCAAACAAGGAGAAGCAAGAATGTCAGAGCTCAAAGACAAGGTTTTTGAATTAACCCAATCCAATAAAGACAAAAAGAAAAAAAAATTTTTTTTAATGAACAAAGCCTCCAAGAAGTTTGGGGTTATGTTAAATGACCAAACCTGAGAATACTGGGTGTTCCTGAGGAAAAAGAGAAATCTGAAAGTTTGGAAAACATATTTGAGGAAATAATCAAGGAAAACTTCCATGACCTAGTTAGAGATCTAGACATCCAAGTACAAGAAGCTCAAAGAAAACCTGGGAAATTTATCACAAAAGGATCATCACCTAGGCATAGTCATCAGGTTATCTAAAGTCAAGACAAAGGAAAGAATCTTAACAGCCATGAGTTAAAAGCACTAACTAGAT